TCTCTGCAGGAACGGCATGAAACCAGACTTTCTCGCGATTAGAACGGCTCCCACAACTAAGTACAATACATAAAGTATGCATTTTCCTAAAAATCAATACTTTACAGACTTTATACAAATCAAAAATCGCTATAAAACGGCATTTTTTTTAAATAAAAAGGCATTGGCCTCCATTTTGAATTTCTTTTTGACAAGTCGTTGGATTGCCCTATTTATGGAGAAAGCTTGAAAAAGAAAAACGAAAAATATAAAAATAATTAGGCATTCCAGGTCACGTGACTTTGACAGGTCCGCTGGCGGGTAAACAAAGCCTAGATCAGTATTTACACCGTTCTTTCAGATTGTGTTTCCAAATTTTTGCGTTCTTAAATTCTTTCAATAAGTTTTAAGTTGTTTTTGTGGTAGAATGGCTAACATTGACTATTATTCATCGTTAGCTAGTGATGTGAAATGTCGGTATGACCAAAAAATACAAATAATTGCCAATATAGATCCTTATAAACTTCTACCTAATGAGTTTACTTTAAGTATCAATGAGTTGCCAGAGGTTTCAATTTTGGATTTATCCGAATATTTGACCCACACCCACAGTTACTACACAGGCTTGCAGTTGAAGGCGTATAAAGGGTTATTCAAGTTCTGCTGGACTACCTAAAAGGTATTAAAAGTAAATATTACTTGTAGAAACAAACCAATTTTTCGATATAAATGTGTTTTTTAATTTTAACAACAAGACAGTCATAATACTTACCATTAACAAAATGTTTTGAACAAATACGAGCATTTCTCAGAAACGTTTCAGTTAAATCTCTCCTTTTGAGGCATTTAATCCACAGATTTCGTCGTTCCTTTTTTAGCTCGTTTAGACGATTCCCTAGATCTCTTAATGCTGCTGGGATCCTGAAAAACCTTTCTTTATCTCTTTCCGCTCTACTAGAGCACCTAACAACGCAGCAAAAAGAAGGCATCTTCACAAAATAGATTGACAATTCTTGGTTTAACATTGAATCAGGTTATGTTTGGCTTTTGTGTGCCCCCCAAACTAATATGGCGGATCGGTTATGACATTAACCTCTGGAATGCCTAATCATGTTGTTAGGTTAGGTCAGCTTTGTCGCCGGTCAAATGTCAATAATTACTGGAATTCGTTATTAGGCAATCTCAATCACGTGATTTTATAATGGCCGTTCGGGTCAAGTATTGCCGTGACAGGGTGACAAGCTGGTGACGTTCATAAGGAGAGCATTTGTGCACATTTGTGTTCTGACCCTTGTTGCTTTTCGAAGTGAATTTTATAGTCTTTGGTGTTTCTACGTATTTTCTATTGGTTTGGCCATTGTTGTTTTCACAATGAATTTTATAGTCTTTAGTATTTCAACGTATTTTTTAGTGTTCTGGCCCTGGTTGTTTTCAAAGTGATATTTATAGTGTTTATAGTGTTTCTACGTATTTTTTAATTTATTGATAAATTCTGAGATGGAGAGTGAATATTTTAAGGTATTATAATTAAGGGAAAATCGAGCCTCTGTTAGATCCTTTCTTTTAATTGCAGCAATCCATAAAGCCCTGCGCTGCCAATGATTTAAAATAGCAGGAACCTGAATAAAATTTCACATTTTTCCTGTTACCTCGACTTCGACACCCCATTACGATGCAAATCGCTGGCATTTTAATTAACACAATACCTAAACACACAAAAAAATACAAAATCCGATAATTCAAATCTGGACGTTTGTCCAGAATGCGTGACAGAATCAATGACATACAGAATAAATAATACTGCTTGACCCAATGCTTGACCTGAACTTCCATATTGAATTTCGTTTTTGACAGGTCAGTAGATTGCCTAATACAGCGGCTGGTTGAAAAAGAAACGACAAATACAGTAAAAACCGCACAGCGGAAATCTAATAATTTTATTGGTTCATTTTCTTGGTGTTTTCGGTGCCACTGAACCCAAAGACATAGCTGTCATCAAGCGGTGTCAGTTGAGATGTCAGTGAATATTCTTAAGGCCCATCCTCAATCAATCTGGTAGCGAAGTGGCACTTCGGCACGCATGCTAGGATAATGTTGTTTAAGGTTGGCATCCTCAATTCAATTCCGTGCTAGCATGCACGTCGACTCCGAAGTGCAAGCTTGCAAGGTGTAAGCTTTTTCGATGCGTGCCGACTTAAGTCATGCGCAGTACGATAAAAAATAATTCAGGTTATCCTTGCGTTCCGTATTTTGCCCGAAGAGCAGAGTGTGCAGAGCGGAGCTGTTATCACGTGACCAGCGAGCGCAGAGAGCAGTTAACCGCTGTATCAGAGGGCTCGAAATTTTAATAAACGAACGTGAATGAGCCTGCACCGAGTACTCTTTTTAAATAAACGAATGGAAAATTTATGCTCGGAGAACTCAGATCAAAATACCGAACGTACGGTTCGTGACCGTACTACACGCAGAGCAGACTGAAAATTGACAGCATTGAGGATGGTTATCAATTTCCCAGCACGCGTGCCGAAGTGTCACTTCGCTACCAGATTGATTGAGGATGTACCATCGTCACCAAAAGTAACTGGGACCAGGGTTGCCAGATCTATGAAATGGAAAAGGGGGACTGATATTATCCAGAGGGAAAACTCGCTTTTTTCGGGTGCCACGCCCAAAAGCATAAGGTGGGAGGGGGGAGGGGCAAGTGCCCAATGTGTCCTCCTCCTATGGACCCCCTTGAGCAAAAGCGCAACAAATTTTTTGGAGCTACGCCCAAATTTTGTTAAGAATTCAACCAAAACTCGACCAAAAAAAAAAATTCTCCTTTATTAAGATAACAAAATAAACGCTTCACGACAAAACAACAGAAATAGTCTATTATATACCTAGGTAGAGAAGTTGGTCATTATATATACCGAGCGCTTTTATAAACCGAGGCGCAAAGCGCCGAGGTTTATAATGCGTGAGGTATATAATGACTTTCTCTACCGAGGAATATATAGAATTTTTTTTACTACTGCTAGTAGAAAATAAAAAATTTGCTTAAAATCTGTGCTCTAATTATTTTTTTTTGAACGCCCTCTTGAAAGTGCTGCCCTCTATCAACAGCTTATGATAACTTCCTACGTACCTACAGAAACCTGTATTTTGTTTTAAATTGACGCATGAAATTGAAATTGGACCAATAGAAACATGACAATATCCTTGTGTCATGACGTCATTTTCATTATTGACCTAGGGACTTTTTCATTATTTTCATTATTCACCTAGGGAGAGAAATTCAATTTTTTCCTAGAAAAATAGATTGAATAATGACTATTTCTCAGGTAAGTAGTAAAAAAACATCATTATTTATACCCTATAAATAAACGCTATACTTTTTGTATGACAAGTTATGGTTTTTGTTGTTAAACTAATGTAATGTTTTTTCACAAGGGTTCCTACTTTGTTTAATAGATGGCGCTTGAAAACGTGGATGAATCAAGACGCCATCTAAAAAAGTTCTCGTTTTTAATTAATTTGATTACTATTATTTTGCTTTTATTACATTATATCATTGTATATTATAATTGGATTTGAAAGAATGTTTTTAACACGTAAAATTCCTAATTCACTTTCGTCACTAGATATTTTATCACTAATGACGAAAGTGACGTTTTCGGCTAAGGTGAAATATGACCAAATATGAGGAAAGTTGTTTATTTTTCAATGGCCAGAAAAAAAGTTTTTTGCAGATGCTAGTTTGTGCAATGAAAGATTTGGATTTTGTTGGAATTTTTGACATTTTTATACTTACAACATACAAGATTTATTATTAAAACCCAAGAATCGTAAACTAACAGGATTGCTCATCCTGAGAAGGTGTACGTTCGCCGGTTCTCGAGTCCACAAGGTCTGCGAGTGACGTCACCGAGCCAGCAGCTAATAGTGATGACGTCGACCGCAGACCTCGATGAAATGCTTGTGATTTAGGCGCGGTATTTGATTTTTGCGTCGATTTTAAATGAAGAAATAGCTATTTATGTAACAAGTTGTAAAATGAGCGTGTTTTTTGCACTAAATGTGAAGATTGGGTGGAAAAAGCGGGAAAATCGGGACAATTCACGTGAAAAGCGGGACCTGAAATTAATAAAAAAAAGGCGGGACCGATTAACAGAATGCGGGACTGTCCCTCCTAAGGTGGGACGTCTGGCAACCCTGAGGGCCGGTATTATAAAACACTGAACCGATGGTTGAGTTTCAACCTTCGGTTGACTCCATGCAAATTGATAGGATTCAACCGAAGGTTGAAACTCAACCATCGGTTCAGTGTTTTATAATACCGGCCCTGAGTGGGACACAACAAATGTATAATAATCTCCTGGACTAATTCTACTGTCATTCATTTCAATGCATTTAATGCATATAGTTTGACAAATATTTGACAATAAAATTCATATAATAGGACAAGAGCTAATGTGTTTAGGTTACGCCCCACTTTTCTTCCCCCTTTCGTCTCTAATAACTTACCACTTGCCGGACTAAACCTGCCCCCAGTGTTGCCAAAGCTACCCCGTTCGGGGTAGATCTACCCCTTTTGAAAACAATCTCGCCCTTCCGCTCCCTTCAATTAAATCTACCCCGCTCTCAATACAATCTATGCTATAATACAAAAAGAATGCTTCTGCTTATCGCTAATTAAAAATACTTAAAAAATCCAAATAAGGTACTTGCATGAAAAAATGGATTATTGTTTATTGTAAACTGTAGGAAATCGAAAAAAAATCGTTACTTTTTTTTAATTTCTCGCTCAAATATGATTATTCCGGAAGTTATACAAATATTAAGTTTTGTATATATAGATATACTGAGCATGTGCAACGTCACTAATTTATATGATAAGTGACGTCATAGGCATATTTCATAGCGTTGTATCTTCGTCAATTTTTGACTAAGAAGAAAAAGAAAAAACACGTGTTAACTTATTTTTCATGGACTAACGAAATCAGCAATAAAAAATTGATGCAAGTACCCCATTATGAGAAGCAATTTATATTTATTTGAACTGTACCTAGCAACAAGTTTTTTGTTTTCGCCCAAGCACAGAATTAACTACATTTAAGAGATTCCTTTCAGTGTATCCTTTAAATTTGTGTGGTAATTGATGCAGAAAAAAATGTAAAAACATTGAAGTTATTTACCTTACAGCCTCAAAAACGCATGTGTCATAAAATTTTAGCTGTATCATTAGTTGTATTCCTTTCAAGAGCTTGAAACACTCGAGCTACTCGCTTCGGTGCTTAGTCGCCCCCGATTTGCAGGGAACATATGCGTGGTGCAACAAAAACTTTTCGAAAGGAATAAGCGCGTGAAGCCCCGGAGCTGTTCCGGAGCTCCTCCTAGGTGTGAAAGGAATACAACTATTAGCATAGCAGTCTACTTTACCGCACACTATGCGGTGAAGTAACTAATACCCCACACTTTGTAGTTTATTTCACCGCAGACTCGCAGCCCATGCGGTAAAGTAACTTTATTGCATAGTGTGCGGTAAAATGCTACTTTTCGCACGCTCGTAGGTGAAATTTTTGTTGCTACCCCGCACCGATTCCATTCTACCCCGCTATCTTGCCGTGATCTGCCCCAATAAAGGAAGAGCTTGTGGCAACACTGCCTGCCCCCGGATTCTATTTTATGTGTCGAGTCGGATTGTCTCGATATCGAATACGACAGCTCCGGACGTACCGTGTAATAGGTACGGATCGTAAAATAGAATCGCTATTTTAAGAATTCGATACGAATTTCGACTCGACTCGTAAAATAGAATCCGGCACTATTTGACTTATGTTTTCAAGTGGCATCGAAATCTCTGAAAATTTATCCTTCACTTCCTTCACTATCTCTTTCTCTTTCTGCTCCATTACTGTTTTCAGCGATGGTCACTGCGTCACTGCTGTCGCTCAGGATCAAATAAGAAGATAGGTTAGGAGCTATTGCCGCCTAAAATCACTTGTGTGGTTTGTTTTTTATTTTTATACATTTTTATACGGTTCGCCAAGCCAAGGTGCTATTCCTATTTACCTGCTCTAAATACATTAATCGCTTTTAGCTATCAATTATTAATTACAGCGAGGAAGTCTATAATACAGAAGTAAAGGAACTAAAAGTTCAAAATGGATAAATCGTTATTGAATTCCTCTGGGATGGGAATTCCATTTTCCCCAAGACCTAGAGGAGGTACGCCTAGAGCGGCAAGGTCAAGTCGAAGGTCTATCAGTGTAGTGGGCCCCAATGAGTAAGTCCAAAAAAACAGCAATCCTATAAACATAATAATTTAACATTCTAGACAAACATTAAACAAAACAACTTCAGTAAACGTCGTTCTTAAATCGGCTCTTCATAATGTTGAACGTTTTGGTCTACCCGTACCGGTCCATGTTGAAGAAATTTTCATATACCACAACAGTAAGCAGCATTACAACTTTTATTAACAAATTCATCAAATCAAAAATTACAGAAAATCCGGTTATAACTGCTAGAGTTTCGGAATGCGGCTACGCCTGGGTGGTTTCAGGAAGACGTCTGTTCATCTGGCAATATCAAAACGTACAGACCGATGGGTCGCCAAAAAAAATTCCTGTCTGCTATGAATTGAAATTGCCGCAAAGCGATCTGGCCCATCGGGCAGAATTAGTGGCAGTATTTATCAGTAAAACTTCTAATCAGCCTTCTTGTGTTGCTGTATCACCTGAAGGTAAGTGGTATGGTAGTAGGTGGAATAAGCACCCATTTTCAAGCTAGTATCTGTTTTCCAGTACCCAAAAAATATGGGTCTTTATTTGAAGCAAGTATCTATACGAATAAACCGAGGGGTCAACCACTGTAAAAATTTGTACACGTATTGCGAAAATGTTGGTATTTCGCAAGTATCTCGCTAAAATGAAAGTATTTCGGTGGTGGTAATTCGGACCTATTTTTTTGTGGTATTGCCGAGTACTTCGAAGTATTTGGAGGTAATTCGAAGTATTTCAATGAAATTTGAAGTATTTCGAGGTAATTCGAAGTATTTTGTGGTAGAGATGTGAGTGTGAAAAGTTTCACCTGAAAAGTTTCAATAAAATTTCATTTCATTGAAAAGTTTCAAGACAGTTCAAATCTTTTCAAAATTTTGTGAAAAGTTTAAAGATCATGAATCATGCATTCTGTGACTTTGTCCCAGGTTTGTTAAAACGAAAACGGATGTCATGGTCGTTGTCAAAAGAATAATTAACAAGTGACGAAAACAGCATTTTTTGCAAGGAGAAAACAGTTGTTTTCAAGTTGCAAAAAAAAATTTTTGACAACTATACTACACTATACTTTTTCTAAGACCATGTTTTGATTTTTGCTGTTAAACTTATGTTTTTTTTACAAGAGTTCCTACTCGCCATCTATGAAAAGTTCTCGTTTTTAATTAATTTTATACTTATATTTTGCTTTTATTACATTATATAAAGCAAAATTGTAATATACTATAAATGAAACACAGTCATTTGAGTGATGGTCTATTTATTACTGAAAATATTCAATTCTCCATACCCAAGGAATGGTACTCTAGTCACAAAAAACCCATTGTTAATCTAACCATACACTAATAGTGAGCTAGCACATACACGACTATTTAGAGACGTTATGCACATATACCTATCACAAAAATTTACATAATTTTGTTAGGAACTATGTTTTTTCATTGTGTTCCACAGAATTGAAATATAATTGGATTTGAAAAAATGTATTTAACATGTAAAATTTTTAATCATTCACTTGCGTCACTAGTGACAAAAGTTAACGTTCTGGGATATTTCATCACTAGTGACGAAAATGACGTTTTCGGCTAAGGTAAAATATGACAAAAGTTGTTTATTTTTTGATGGTCATAGAAAAACAGATTTTTTTCACTATTACGCAATTTTTTTTATTTCCTCAATCCTCAACCGCAATATTGTGATTTATTGGAAAGGAATAATTGATAAAAATTATATTATTCATCAATTCAATTTATTGAATACCTATCATTTCGAAAATAGTTATTTTTGTATCTAGTGCGCGAAATGCTACTTTGGTGATCGAGAACTGATTTTTGAAAAAAATAGTCGAGATCAGCAAAGTATTTCGCGCCCGAGTTGCAAACAATATTTTTTCTACAACTCCATTTAAATATCGATCATTCGAAGCCAAAATTGCAATCTCAATCAAAGGTAGGTGAATTTTAATTATTTTTGGTTTCCTGACAGGTATGTGTCACCATGACACCAGTGTGCGAACTAGCTATTTCGCGCACTAGTGTGCGGCGTCATGGGAACGTTAAAAAATCAATACCTCGGAATAAAACTGTCATCGCAAACTGTCATGAGTGTGCGAACATCATCATTTTTTGACAGTTGTAGAAAAAATAATTTTAGAGGCCCTATTCTTCCTGTACTTAACTTTTCAAACAAAAATTTAAAAGTTTCAACTTTTCATGAAAAGTTTCACGAAAAGTTTCAAATTTGAAAATTTCATGAAAACTTACATCTCTATTTTGTGGTAAGCCAAGGTATTTCGAGCTATTTAAAAGTAGTTTTTTCGAGAGTTTTTTTTTTTTAAGTACCGAGAACAATTAATTCTTTATCACTTAAAACTGGAATATTATAGAATAAAAATTATAGTCCATCTTCGAAGAGGCTAAATATGTTGACATACTTTGAATTTACTTCAGATTGATTGAAACAAATGAAAGATATACTAAGCATATACTTGATATGTATTAGTAATCAATGTCATTTAGTTAATAGTACAGGGTCATCCAACGATGACTGAACAGAGGAATATTTTTGACTCTCCCTGTATTTTTGAGAAAATTCAAAATAGCCAATTGGAAATTTTTTCTCTAGACAACTCAAAAATGGTACCAAAAAATCCTTTGAACCAAAAACTGAAGAGTTATTTACGCCATGGATGAGCTTTTTTTCAAATGGAACACCCTGTTTTTTGTATGATTTTTGGAGAAGTCTCATTTTTTTACATCTATTCTGTTGAAAATATTTGATATTCCGAATTCCAATAGCTGTTTTTATTTTATTTTATTATTTTATTATTATTAATTTTTGCTTTGCTGGTTTAATACATGGCAACAAAATACAAAGATTATACTTCTATCATTTTTATTGAATCGGGTTTTACTTGGTGGAAATCCATTATCTAATAAAAGATTTTTTAAGTAAATTTTAATACTTATATACAGTGTGCGCCATAAAGTTGGGTACATATGGGAAAATTCCTAATTATTCCTTTTTTCAAAAAACTTTTTTTGAGGATCGTTAGGGCATGTTCGATAACCAAAAAATCGATGATGACACATGTCATGCGATTATCGGTTTAGCGGGAATTTTGAAAAAAGTTGATATTGATGTCAAAAAACGGGTAAATTTGGCAAGATATCAAAAAATTTTATAAGAAAAAGTTTTTCAGAATCCAAAAAGAACTCCACATGCCGATTTTGAAGCAAATCAGAGAAAAAAAATAAAACTACTTATTTTATCCATACCATTAAATGAAAAATCGAAAATAATAATTTTATTTCAAAAATAGCTTTATTCAACTAAATTACATAAGTTTGATATCAAACGAATCGATTGTTTTGCGAAATACACACTTGAAGGTCATAAATTAGAAAATACCGTCCGGTCGTGTCGCTATAACTGTACCCATGTCCCTTTTTGCACATTTTCTGGTCATCAGAAAAATAACATGACGTGTCATTATCGATTTTTTGGTTATCGAACATGCCCTAACGATCCCCAAAAAAAGTTTTTTGAAAAAAAGAATAATTAAGAATTTTCCCATATGTACCCAACTTTATGGCGCACACTGTATTTCCACTATTTTTTGTTAAACTTTTAACATGTTTCGCTAAACTTTAGCTTCATCAGAAAGATTTAAAAAAATTAAATGTAGACATAAAAGTAAAATTGACAAATATAAAAAAAGGTTAGTCTAATTTTATGTTAATTTAAATAGGTATTATCTTGTATTGTTAGTTTTGAAAGCAACATTTATATCGTTTTTGTTAAGAAATTTGCTAATTTTATTACTAGCTTGTCCTTGGAAAGTAATACTTTTGAAATTATTATTATTTTGTAATTTTTTAGGGTATACTAAATTAATGGCATTTTTGTATAGTTTTTTGTTTAAAATATCATCTATTAATTGGGAAGAATAGCCATTATTGATATCTAGCCGAGTATCTAGCAATTTGTTTAATTAGGTTTAATTCTTTTTGGAAATTAATATTATTTATAGGAAGTGTTATTAATCGGTGTATCATACTGTTAAAAGCAGCTAATTTGTGTTGGATAGGATGACAAGATGTATTGTGTATAACTGTATCAGTATGAGTGTTTATGAAATATAAAAAAATCATGTTTTTCATCTATGTTTTTGATTGTTAGATCTAGGAAATTTATTGAATTATTTAGTTCTTTTTCTATGGTAAATTTAATGTTAGGGTGGATTTTATTAATAAAGTCTATAAAAATATATATACTTTTATCACTTATGAACCAAATAAAAACAGTAATCGGAATATCAAATATGTATGTTCAACAGAATAAACGTGAGAAATGAGACTTTTCCAAAAATCATACAAACCCGGCGTTCTATTTAAGAAACAGTTTATCCATGGCGTAACTCTTTGGTTTTTGGTTCAAACGATTTTTTGGTACCTACCATTTTTGAATTCTCAAGTAAAAAAAAAATATTCCAATTGGCTATTTTGGACTATCTAAAAAATACAGGGAAAGTCGAAAATTGCCCCTGTTCAGTCCTCGTTGGATGACCCTGTACCTAACAGCATTGTAGAACTAACAGTCACCTGCATCACTAACTATTGATTTAATTGTCTATCCTGTGTATCAAAATAAAATCTATCATATCTAAAGACGCAAAAATCCGAACAAAAATACTTCACTGCGATCTGCAAGAAAAATCGTCAACGATAAATTTTTTAAGTATTGTGGGACTTCGCGTGGTAATTCGAGGGTATTTCGCGTAATTCGACGGTAATTCCATGGGATTTCGCGTACTTCGACGGGAATACCTGGTAATTCGAGGTACTTCAAGGTATTTCTAGGTACTTCGAAGTATTTCGGAGGTTATACAACTCATTGTACATTATTCCCATATGACACGAGAGGCTTAATAAGTGATAAGCCTTTTGGGATTATCGCGCTTGGTGGCATTTATGGCAAATTCTATTATAGAATTTTTTTTAAATTTTAAAGTATTAAAGTTTAGTTCGTTGTATAACCTTTTGAATACCACTCGATGTTTCAGGATTACCTAATACTTTTACCTGACACTCAACGCGTTACCAGCAACACCACTCCTCCTTGGGAGTCGTGGTGTTGCTGCGTAACGCGTTTCGTGACAGGTAAAAGTATATCCGGTAATCCTGAAACCTCTTGTGGTATTACATTCGATAATTCGGGGCAAGTGTACACGTATTTCGGGAAGTGGTTGACCCCTCGGAATAAACCATTACATTTTTGTCTTAATTTTGATTGAATCTGATAACAACGCCCCAAATTTAGTTAATTTAATTTACTAAATTTGGAATGTTTTATTTATTTATAAATAAATAAAACATTAAATAAATAAATAGGAAAACCCCATTCAAAAAATAATTAGATACAAAATGAAGTTAAAACAAACCAGACCTAAGAAACTAACAAAAAA